ATCTATCTATCTATCTATCTATCTATCTATCTATCTATCTATCTATCCATCCATCCATCCATCCATCCATCCATCCATCCCACCTATATAACACATAAGACACAGAAACATTTTTTGGCTATACTTTATTTATAAAGACATTTCTTAAAGACAAAGCATACTTAAACTTTATATTCTGAAAAAAAGAAGCAGAATGCGAATGTCAAACCACAACAATGAGGCCACACAGGGCCCACTGCCCCCCCCCTACTGAATTTGTAACAGGCTCTGCGTTCCACTAAACAAAAAGTCTTTGGTTCATTTTAAGAGTCCACCATGTGCACTCCACAATATAAAACAACGGATGACAAACAAACTTTCGCTTCAAACTCAACCATAACCCGATAATGTTCCTAACGCTTGTTGATTACTTGATGATGCAGAGTGAGCATGAAAATTAAAGCAAGGAAAAGAAGCTGAAGCAGTCTTAGAAGGCCGTAGTAGCAACCAATATGTAGATAATAAGCAGGACCGTGCCTCCGATCCCCAGTCCCAGGGCGACGTGGTTCAGGGTCCTGGAGGTCTTGCTGTTCCGCTCCGCTGACATCCGGTCGCCCGAGTGGTTGGCTTCACGGGCCTGAAAAGTGTAATAAAACAAGACCCAAAAAAGAACAGTTGAGTCTTTAATTGTATATTTAGAAAGAAAGCGAAAGGCGAAATCCTGTAATGATTTGGTAGTTAGCGTATTTGGTTTTTGGAGACAACTTAATTAAACTTGCGAAAGCAATGGATGTGGGGGAGAAGTAGAATCAAACTTTTTTGCCATCAAGGAAAGCTTATCTTGAGAATCACTGAAACATTTGATTTCACTTTCATGTTTGAGCTGGTAAGCTTACAGTTGAATGCCTTTTCCAACTGTCGACAAGGGTGTGGTTAGATGACCCGTCTACACACCGCTGACAATTCAGACAGTGGTAAAGTGCACCGTGGATTACATCCTGACTGGGTGTCGGCTGAAAACTGGACAGGAACATTGTGAAATAAAGGAATCCATTATGACAAACATAACTGAGCTGCAGTTTGTGGGATTGTAAATCAGAAACTGCAAAGCAGATTTTGCTTTCCCTAAAAAAACACCAAGTGTGCCTTTAGTTTCTTGATCCAATATGGTATGAGTTGGTAATCCAGCTGTAATGCTTTAATGACACCCTGGCAGTAAATATATATAAAGGTTTTCTTAGACAATCTCACACAAAAGAGATCATTACACAATCTTAGGAGGTGGAATTATCCCACTGAAACTCTAAATTCTGTCAGGGTTTAAACTTGTTTTTTTTTTTTAGACTGCATCATGTTCACACCTCACAGGCAAAAGACAAACTACAATAAGTCACATTTCTGTGACTTATTCTGTTATATGTGCCCCAAATAATAAGATTTCTGAATACACCTAAACCAATGGTTAAATTTGTTTAGCATCTCTTATTTCCATGACAGACGTTTCACCTAATTCTGTCAGATGAATACAGCAGCCGGCTGTAACCAGCGATGCTCAGTGCATCTTATGAATTGGAAACTTTGAATCTGAACAGGACACTTCATTCTGCCTCTTTTTAGAGGCATTGATTGTATCACCATCCACATGGTTAAAAGAAAAGAAAACTTTGTTAGTGGGATTTCTCTTTTAAGAAAAAATGACATCAAGCCATAGATGGCAGTAAATGACATGTAAGATGAAGACAGAAACTACAGGAAAAAGGTGCTGAACTCATGATCCCAACTGATATCTGTCTGAAATTAGAGCTCAAGCCGGTTCAGTCCCACCTCATGGTCTGTAAAAAGCCAACAGGTCACATAAGAAAAGAGCCATGATGCTGAGTGAGCGCTCTCACAAGACTTTCACAACCTTACTGTTGTGAAATACACCGATTTGTGTTGGTTACAGAAGATTTCTATCACCTCTGAATTCTCCAGTGAGCACAGTGGGTGCCTTAATCCAGAAGTGGAATAAACAACAGTTGCCCCCGAATTGCCCATGACCAAAACGTTAGACATAAAGCGTAAAAAGATCTATAAGAAGAGTTGTCAAAAAGCCAAGGAGCACCTGTGGAGACCTAGAAATACCAGCAGGTACGAGAAAACAGCATGAAATGCACTCAACGTGCACGCTTGTTACACGTGACTCCATCCTTGAGTAAAAAGAATGTTAAACAACATTTAGACAAGTCTGGGAAATACTGGAATAACATAGTCTGGTCGGATGAGACCAAAATGTAACAAGGTGGAACATCATGATCAGCATACGGCACAATTGACATAATAGATGAAAAATGAATAAATAAAAGCGTCAAAGCTCTCCTGGTAAACATCTTCTGTCATCTAACAGGACGATGAAAAGGACAGATAACGATCCCAAACACAGCCAAGGAAACTTTAGAAGCGTTGTGGAGGAAGGAAAAAAAGCAGCTAAAAAATGAAAATCTATTGACAGAGCCGAAGCTAGGCGTTCATAGAAGGAGCCCAGGGAACATTCAGGACTGTTTGTGAGGAAAAATGATAAAGACATTCAAAAGATTTGTCATCTCTCACTATTTCACATACGTTATGGACATATATGGTCTGATTTCTTTGGATTTGTATAGTATACATACTTAGAAAATAGTTATTTTAGCCACTGTGCAGTATAGTAATAGTAATAAGTACATTAGTTGTAGCCATAATAATAATAAAATAGTAAGAAATGCTGAGGCTTAGCTTGTTTTGAGACTCTGAGCTGTCAAGACCTGTCAAGACCTGACAACTTCCAGGGAACTAAATCGCAGCATGTTCCTCAAAATGTTAACCGTACAACACATCAGTTTGGAAATAATCAGACCACATTACTACACAAACCCAGGCCTCCGCCTTTACACCAGTGCTCACTTGAGTAGCAGATAACAGACAGAAAAATCATGCCGCCACCGTCCACAAACTGCAGCCCCAAATCAGATATTCCACTCTGCGGCGAGTGAGGAAAATCGAAAGTGAGTAATCTTACCAGAGTTTCTGAGAAGCTTCTTGAGAACTGTTTTATCTCCAATGTGTTATAACAACCCGCTCTTACTGGAGTGAACCGAGTGCGAGGGGACGACCTTAAAGCACACACCTTAAAACGGGGCCTATTTGCTGCAGGAACCCGTCCAGCCTTTGAAACCTGCACTGTGCTCCCTCTAAAGGGATGTGACGTTACCAACTGGTGAGAGCTATCCTCAAGGCTGTGCGATCGGCCTTCAGAGAGCCATCAACAGGAAGTTTAATCAGATTAGCTTGCCTCCAAAATGTATCCTTGAAAAATAAAAAAGTAGAGGCTTACGCTTTGACGTCAGTCATCCCACTGCGAGGGACTAAAAATGTCCCAGACTGGGAGTTCCAAGGGGAGAAAGTTTAGCAGAATGCAAACATTCTCCACTTAAAGCCCTTGTGTTATGAAAGGTCTGCTGATAGAAAGTTTTTTAAAGAAGAACAGCTGCATAATGACGTCCTCCCCAGCAACATGATTACATTATATAACAGACGCTAATG